CTTGACTCTAAAGATGCTGAAAGTTTCATAAAAATTTCCCAAAATATTCATCTTTGCTAGATCAGTAAATATCGGCGTAAAAATGGAAGTTTTGAATCAACAGCACTCTCTCATTTAAAAATTCGTATCTTCCAGAATAACACAATTTAAAATTTTCCAGCTCTGCACAAGAGTCTTTCCTCTAAAGGTTCTCGAGTTTGATAGAAATCGCCAGAAATCCTGATTTTTGCCGACTTAATAAATATCGGTCTCAAAATGGGCGTTTCTACCTAACTGCGCTGCTTTTTTCAAAAATTCACATTTTCTAAACTGAGCCACGCAGCCATTCGATTTTTTCACTATTTTTAGAAGATACGTGACTCTAAAGATGCTGAAAGTTTCATAAAAATCGCCAAAAACTCTGATTTTTACCAGCTTGGTAAATGTGAGTCTCAAAATGACGGGAAAAAAATCAACAAATCTCGACTGGAAAACCGATCATAAGCTTCTTGGGTATTTCAACATATTTAGCGCCAATCGGACACACAAAAGACTTATGTTTGAGGATGGGCAAAAAAATAATAAACGGCCAACAAAAATGAGCGATTTTTGAGCAAAACCCAAGGGTTTTGAACCGTTGAATTTTAGAATCGCAACGTTTCTGTTGCAACTCCTGAACTGCTCTTCACACATTGTTGCGCGTGAACAAATACATGCAAAAATGGGAGAGTGTGATTGAACAAAAGTCCTTAGGTGAGCTCCCACATGATGAAACTGTTGTTCCAAAAAACGAGCTGTATTCCGCGCTATCCATCCAATCGATCGGATTTTGTAATGGCTTTTTATAAATCATCAACCGGGTTTATTTTCGGAGCCCATTGTCGGACAATCCCGATCAAATAATAATCATGCGTCACAACGCTCTATTTTTATTTCGAAGAGTTGCGTGGACTCATCGTGTGAAAATAGGTCGCGCCCGCTCACAGATCCAAGAAAACTGCGAAGAATCCAATAACACTTTTACTGTTTTCTGTTTCAGATTCGATGGTTGCCCGTCGCAAAAACTAACCGGCCCCTATCAAAAACAAAATGCAGAGCGGCCAGGGTGGGCGTGGCCCTCCTAGGGGCGCCTGGTCGCCTCTACCGTTCCGCCCCTCATCCCCTTACGCCCAATCGCCTCCTCCGCGTCTTACCAGTCCGAGTGTAAACATGTTTGCAGGCCGCATGCCTTTGTGTCCGCGCCCCAGATGGCCTTTGGGACCTTCTGGTATCCAGTCACCTTCACCTGGACCGCGACCCTTCAGACTACCCATGCACCCGGTAAGTTCATCCCTACCAGCAGGACCTTTTCCTCATTTTACCCCCCAGTGTCTCACTCAATTTGGGGCAAAAAATCGCTTTATTCGCACGCAAAAAATCGCACCAGCGGAATGTCGAAGAGCCTTTCCTCTAAAGGTTCTCAAAGTTTTATAGAAATCGCCAGAAATCCTAATTTTTAATTCATGTTTTCTAAACTGAGCCACGCAGCAATTTGATTTTTTGCCACTTTTAGAAGACACCAAAGTTTCTTAAAAATCTCCCGAAATATTGATCTTTGCTAGCTCAGTAAATATCGGTCTCAAAATGGAAGTTTTTGTTCAACAGCACTCTCTCGTTTAAAACTTCGTGTCATCTAGAATAAAACAAGTAGCAATTTCAAATTTTCCACTTCCACAGAAGAATCTTTCCTCTAAAGGTCCGCAAAGTTTTATAGAAATTGCCAGAAATTCTGATTTTTGCCAACTTAGTAAATATTGGTCTCAAAATGGGCGCAGAAGTCACTTGACTCTAAAGATGCTGAAAGTTTGATAAAAATCTCCCAAAATCTTGATCTTTGCTAGCTCAGTAAATATCGGTCTCAAAATGGATGGTTTGATTCAACAGCACTCTCTCGTTCAAAAATTCGTATCTTCCAGAATAACAGAAGTAGCAATTTGAAACTTTCTAGGTCTGTAGAGCGGGCTTTCCTCTAAAGATTCTCAAAGTTTTATGGAAATCGCCAGAAATCCTGATTTTTGCCAGCTAAGTAAATATTGGCCTCAAAATGGACGTTTCTGCCTAACTACGCTGCTTTTTTCAAAAAATCATGTTTTCTAAA